GAGTTTTTTTTATATAAATTTAATTTATTTTAAAAAAAATACCAGCTCGTTGAGCAGCTCGCCAGCTCGCCGAGCCAGGCTCATTGAACACATGTTCAATGAGTTCTGGCTCGTTAGGATCGTTTTTTAACGACCTGAAAAAATTACAGTTCAGATCGCTCGTTTTCTGGCGAGCCACGAGCCAGTTCGCGAGCCGGGCTCGTTTTGACACCCCTAGTCCAAACCCAAAACATAATGTGCTAATGATTCGGGCTGGTCCAACCCCTTTGATAATGCTAAAATATATTAATTATTATTATTTAATTTTTTTATAATATTTTTATTATATTTAATATTTTTTGTTTTTTTTTAATCGCGAACCGGAACGTCGGATCGTGAATTTGAACGATCTGGTCCGAACCTTGAACCGGAATAATGATTCGGGCTGGTCCAACCCCTTTGATAATGCTAAAATATATTAATTATTATTATTTAATTTTTTTATAATATTTTTATTATATTTAATATTTTTTGTTTTTTTTTAATCGCGAACCGGAACGTCGGATCGTGAATTTGAACGATCTGGTCCGAACCTTGAATTTTTTTATTCGAATAAAAATGAGTTTAACGAATTGGGTTGAAAATAAGATGGTTCGGAACGAGGTGATTCGAACCAACTCGTTTTACATTTCTAGATGGTAGTGACTAAATAAATATAATCTAAAAAATAAATATATATATATATATATATATATATATATATATATATATATATATTGTAATACTGTAATATTAATATATCTAGTAATATTTCCATCTCGTCACAGATTGAGAAAAATATGATTTGAAGTCAAAATATAAAAAAAAAAGTATTTTTATAATGGCACGTATAAAGAAAATAGGTTTGTGATCCGTATGATTTATATGACTCATTGTGATTTATATGACTCATGTGACTGTGTGATCGTGTGACCACACGGTCACATGGAGGAGAGAGAAAGTAATTTTTGGCAGAAAGAGAAAATAAAAGTTGTGTTTTGTAAAACTAAATGATTTTTTTAATTAATTAAAAACAATAAAATAGGTATTGTACTTCTAGAGATATATTTGAAATAGTCAGATTTTTTTAAATGAATATATGTTTTGAAGTACAAATAGCATTTTTAAGGACTCTAAGAAAAACCACTTAAAGTGCCTCTCGTTTCAATAGGTATTTTTTTGTGTGTTCCTAGTAACAAAACGTTCATATATATATATATATATATATATTTACGTGATGCAGGTTAATTATTACTAGACAATAATGGTATAATAAATTTTGTTTTTAATTTAAAATTTTAAAAATAATATCATTGAACGAGCAAAAAGAGACCAAATCAAAGAAAATATTGTCCTTGTCTTTTAGTTTCTACTCCTTTCTTCTCCGCTTCCGTTAGTCTGACTCTGAGCTGTAAAACGCCTTGGGCGAATTGATCGTCGTCGATGGAAGATTACGACCGAAAACAACCGTACAGCGACGGAATGATGCAAATCCAGCCGTACAATGGCGTTTCCCGCGATTTCCAGAGCTACAGCGCGTCGTACGGACAGACCCAGATGGAGAACCCGAACCCGAACCCGAACGATTTCAAGCTGAAGAAGGGGAAATCGTATTCCGGGTCGAAATCGTGGGGATTATCCGACCCGGAAATCCAGAGGAAGAAACGGGTCGCGAGCTACAAGATGTATAGCGTTGAAGGGAAAGTCAAAGGGCCGTTTAGGAAAAGCTTTCCATGGCTCAAGCAGAGGTACACACAGGCTGTCTATGGTTGGTGGTGAATGATTTCATTTTGCCTTCTGTATTCTCTCCTCTTCTTCTGGATTTCGGATTCTCGAGTAATCATGATATGGGTTCGGTTTTCTATGTTGTAATCTCTCCAATACAAGCGGAAGAAAATGTATTGGCTGTTTATTTTCCTGTAATCAAAGGCCTATAAATCTTAGTTTCAGGTGTTTCTGCCATAAAATTAATGGAAAGATGATAACTTTTGATCGAGAAATTTCTTTCTGATTATGCTGTTGTGGAACTGAGTGAGGCTTGTATTCATATGTTTTAAGGGCTTCACGTTGGAGTTTCAGTTTTCTCTTCTATGCACTGCATACAGTAGCAAGCAGAATGTGAATTTATCATCGCCATTCACTTTCTCTTAGTTTAAAAACTTTAGAATTGATGAATCTCTTTGTGATTTGTCATCATCTCCTTTAGAATCTGATTAGGTACTCAGATACTCAGCTAACCTGATGAATCGATCATATTGGTTTGCATCAAAGCTTTTGTTTCTTCTGGATAATGATCTGTTCATCTTGTTTGTAAGGTCTTCCAGTGCCTTATAAATCCATGATTCTTCTGTTGTAGGTTATAAAACCCGGTTTATAAAGTGTCTTCTTGTCCGTGACAAGATTCAACAGAAGCGTTGTCTGATGTTGCAACCTCATAGAGAGCTCTTATTGGGAGCCATTTGCAGAACAATCCAGATCGAAGTCTACTACACTCAACTCCGTCAAAGCAGATTGGGCGACATTGCCTGTTTCTGGATTTTGGTTGCATGGCTTTTCCGGACAGTGGATTGCTTTATGATTGGGTTGGTCTTGGACGCTCATGAAGCATCTAGTTCATCGGGATTCGATACGATTATTTAAAAAATTCGGTTTGGGGGCATCTTATGAATTTACTTGGATGAGAGATGCAATCTTTGAAGATTGATAACAGTATCAGGATCCAAACTGAAATGCTGGCAAAGATGCTGCTTGTGCTTGTTTGTTTCTTTGGTTACATCTCCATTTTTCAGAGTGTTGAGACACAAGTAAGGATTGATCATTGTTTGATGAATTGTCCGAACGACTTCATGCCTCTTTGGAAGATGTCTTTTTGTTTTACTTTCTGTGAAATAGATTCTGAAGCACCTGATTCATATGATGGTGCTCTCCTTCCTGGTTGGAAGAGATGTTGAGAAACCCACAAAAGAATTCACATTTCTGTGTCATTCCCAATAGGTGTACCCACAACCTTGCTTATGAATCTTTTCTTTTATAGATTGCAGGATAATACAGTCGATGGGCAACCATATTTCCTGAAGCCGCAGTCGATTCGCCAAATTTTTTCCATGACTATGTCCAAGTAAAATCTGGTATCCTCAACCCTGTGCTGGAATATAATGAGTTCGTCATTTAGTAGTGTAGCTATGTCATTATATTACATTTATAACCGAATGAAACCATCCAAGTTTTGCAAGCCCATGTATTTTATGAGCCCTGTATCCCCTACCTTTTCATTATTTTATTCGTCCATGACAAATTTTTATCAGTCTTCCTTGACCAATTATTCGAATATTAAATGACCATGATGGTGCATCGGATTTGGTCTATTAGCTGTTCCAAAGTCTTGTCCTTTGGCCATTGTCAGGGATTATTTGACTTTTTGTATCTGCATCGAAAGCACGTCCATGAAGTTGCTCCTTTCTTTTCCCGTCACAACACAAGAGATCAAGCTCTTCTGGTCTCTCATCTGATAAGCTCGTTTGGTATTTTCATTTTCTTCTCCTTCATTGTCAGGATTTTTCTATTCATGATCGTGGAATTCTACAACTAGGGAGCCATGGCACTTGCTAAGCAAGCACTAGCCTCCTAAAGAAGCTTCGTCTGAGAGATTTTTGCTGCCCTTCCAAGAAGCTGGGCTTTCAAGAGCGTAGGGTGATGTCTCTTGCTTTTTTTTTTGCCATGCTTCTCTTTTTTGTTCTTGATTTTTCTATTCCCTCCTCATGTGTTAACAAACAAACATGCCCGCAAGGCAGCACTATATTTTCAAATTGAATTATCTCTTTGCGATTATTGTCCCGAAATTTATTCCTTTGGAACTTAAGTCAGGCATGGGAGAACGCGAGGAGCGGATTCGAGAAGGATGGAACTACGACGTGTTTTTAAGTTTCCGAGGACCAGATGTGAAGGTGGCCTTCCTATCCCATCTCTACAGTGCTCTCAAAAGATGTGGTATCTACACCTTCTTGGATGAGGAACTGTCAAGAGGAGCCGAGATTCGTTTGAACCTGCTAGAGGCCATTGAAAGTTCTAAAATTCTTGTTGTTGTGTTATCAAAACGCTATGCATCATCAACATGGTGTCTTGAGGAACTTGAGCACATTATGTATTGTCGCAGAAGTAGATCAGAGCAACTGGTATTACCCATATTCTATGATATTGACCCATCACATGTACGCAGACATAGAGGGGCAGTTGGTGAAGCATTGTCTAGACATGAAACTCGATTTCCTTTGGACAAGGTGCAGAGATGGAGGTTGGCTTTAACAGAAGTAGCAGATTTATCTGGCTATGTCTGGAATGGCCAACGGTTAGTTTCAATCTGACTGTTCCACTCTTCTCCTATACGTAACTGATAACTAACGAAAACAAGCGCTAAATAATGAGGAAAGAGTATGTTATTTAGGTTGGAAGTAGATTTTTAACTCGGGGATTTCGTTATGCAGGAGCGAAGCAAAACTAATCGAGGATATCACAAGAGATATCCTCCAAAGGTTGGATAGTTCATACTTGCATTTACCCTCATATCATGTTGGTATTAGATCACGCGTACAGCATATTCTTCCTCTGCTGAGCATCGGTTCAGATGATGTCCAAGTTATAGGAATCGGTGGAATGGGTGGGATCGGCAAAACAACGATAGCCAAGGCTGTGTATAATGAAGTCTCTCATCATTTTGAAGGGACTAGTTTTCTAGCAGACTTTAGAAAATATTCCAAGAATCCTGAAGGCAAAGTTCATCTAAAGAAAAAACTTCTTTCCGATATCTTAAAGAGATATGACATAACGCTCAACAGCATTGATCATGCGTTAAAAGAAAGATTCCGCCGGAAAAGGGTACTTGTGATATTTGATGATGTCGATGATCTGAGTCACTTTACTTCACTAGGAATCGAGATGAGTTGGTTTAGTCGAGGAAGCAGAATAATCATCACAAGCAGGGACTTGCATTTACTGGAGCAGCTTGGAGCGAGCAAAATATATATACCTGAGGAACTAAATACAGGTGAATCTCTTCAGCTTTTAAGTCAGTATGCCTTTAGAACAAGTGAACCTCCTGAAGAGTTTCTTGGGCTCTCTAAAGATTTTGTTGAATATTGTGGAGGACTACCCTTGGCAATAGATGTCTTGGGTGCTTTTCTCTTTGGGAGAAGCATCCACGAGTGGAGAAGCAAATTGGAATTGTTGAGAGGAACCCCTCATGATAAAATACGTGCAATACTTCAAACCAGTTACGATAGTCTGGACTGCACACACCAAGATATATTCTTGGACATTGCTTGCTTCTTCATTGGTATGGATAAAGACTATGTGGTTTACATATTAGATGGATGCGGATTATGTCCTGATATCGGACTCAGTGAACTTACTGGGAGGTGTCTCATTGAAGTCCAAGATAACAAGCTAATGATGCATGACTTAATACGTGACATGGGAAGATTTATCGTTAAAGAAAAATCTCCCAAGAACTGTGGAAAGCGTAGCCGACTTTGGGATGCTGACGATGTTATTGATGTATTGACAAAATATTCGGTAAGGGAAGACGCACATTGCATTCCTTTATATCATGAGAACTTGCGAATTAAGCATTAACTTGCTTGTTCCATGACAGGGAACGGAAAAAGTTGAAGGCCTCAGCCTGAACGCTCAACCTCCTGATATGGAGAGCTTGGATGCTAAAGCATTGTCAAATATGCGGGAGCTGAGATTGTTACAACTAAATCGCGTACAACTCAAAGGAAGCTATGCAAATTTTCCAAAAGGTTTACGATGGCTTTGTTGGCACGGGTTTCCTTTCAAATTCATACCAGCCGAGTTTTTTCAGCGGAATTTAGCTGTCATGGACATGCATTACAGCAACCTGAGACGATTTTGGAATGCTGGGGAGGTACAAATTTGAAATAACTTTAGCTCTTTCATATTGAAAATTTCTTCACTGTTTGATCATACTTGTGGATGTCCGTTGCAGCCTTGGTACCTCAGGAAGCTCAAATACCTAGACCTCAGCAATTCTTTCTATCTCATAGAGACTCCTGACTTCTCTAATCTCCCAAACCTCAAGAAGCTTCTATTGGTAAATTGTAAAAGCCTGGTTCTGGTTCATATGTCCATCGGGGTTCTTCATGGAAAGCTGGTATTTGTGAATCTGAATGGTTGCACTGAGCTAGAGGACCTCCCTTCAGAATTCTATAGATTGAAGTCTCTGGAAACTCTCAATCTTTCAGGCTGTTCGAAACTCAAGAAGTTAGAAGATGGTTTAGGGGAAATGGAAGCCCTGACTACTCTTCTTGCAGATGATGCTGGTATAAAGGAAGTGCCTGCTTCGATCATTCAGCTGAAGAAATTGAAAAACTTATCCCTCGGTGGGTCACACAATGACTACGGTATGCATTCTCAAACTACTTGTCGGCTTCCAGTCTCATTCAATGGCTTAAGCTGCCTGACGACTTTACGTCTAAGTTACTGTGGTCTATCTGACGAGCTGATTCCCGAAGATTTCCTGAGTTTGTCTTGTCTTGAAGATCTTGACCTCCGAGGCAACCCCTTTCGCAATTTGCTGACTGATTTTGCTCGACTTCCAAAACTCCTGATCCTCAGATTGGATAATTGCTCAGAACTTCGGTCCATGTATAGTTTACCCAGAAGCTTGAAATTTCTACATGCTACTAACTGCATCTCTCTGGAAAGAACTCCGGATCTTTCAGAATGTTCGACATTGCAAGGACTGTTCCTCAGCAACTGCACCAACCTTATCCAAACTCCTGGGCTTGACAGACTGAAAACAGTTAGAGTCATCCGCATAGAAATGTGCATGCGCATACCAGTTTCTTTCAGGGAAAGTTCTCCTTCATCTCGTTCAATTGAATTAAGAATCTTGACACCAAATGATTGAACAACCTGGGAGTGCTTATGTGAAAAATGGTCAATAATAGCGTATCTGATTTGTGATTGAAAAATGATGTGTTACAGGGATGGGCTGGTAGGGTTTATGGAGGCGTTTTCCTTCCTGGATATAGGGTCCCAAATTGGATTAGCTTCAAGGATAATAAGCGATCAGTTTCTTTCATTGTTCCAGCAACTCCCAACCTTGTTGCTAAAGGACTTAACTTGTGCATGCGTTACAAAAGTCTGTGGAATGATGTGATGTCTGAATATTCTCCAAGTATTACGGTTAAGAATCATACCAAGGGCAGTGTGTGGACTCGCAAGCCAGCACCACATAACATACGTTTGTACCATGAACAACACCTGTGGCAAGGTCACATCTCAAATGAAGGGTTCCTCTTAGAAACAGGGGATCAAGTGGAAGTTGATGTGGATTTTGGTGATCATGTAACTATTCTAGAGACAGGGGTCAGTCTTGTTTACAAATCAAATGGGAGTTACCCAGAGTATGAAGCTGCATCAAGCAACACAAATGCTGCTTCAACAGACGATGAAGGATCAGTTGATGAAAATGATGATGAACAATTGGCATATTCAACGGACGAAGCTGCGTCAAACAACTATGACGCTGTTTCAATAAACGAAGATTTCGTTTATGAAATTGAAGATGAACTATCGACACATTCACAAGATGAAGCTGCACCAAACAACTCCGGCTTTGTGTCAGTAGACGATGTTTCCATTGCTGAAATTGAAGATGAACCACCGACACATGCAGAGGACGAAGCTGAATCTGTGGAAACCGAAACAACTGGAGAGTTTGATGGAGTAAATCCTCCTGCTGATTGCCAGGATATACCAAGGTATGTGTCCACCTAAGTTCTTGCTCAATCTTGGAGGAAAAAAGAAAAGAAAAGAAAGATTGTTGCCTTGGATCTTAGAAAGCAGCCATCATTTTTCTTTCCAGGTATCAGGGAAGTCCTCAACTGCCCACTGGAGAAAACCATCACAGACCTCACAGGTAAACAGATGGGAGAAAAGAACTGTGCAGTAAACCTTGCAATGATAATGGGTTCTACTATAAAAAAACGTCTATTCAGTTTGTTTTGTTTTTTGTGTTTGGATGGTAGGAAAATGAGTTTCGGCCTTAGAGCATTACTCGGGGCATTCGGTTTCTTGGCACTCATCGTCGCTCTGGGAAAGTACGGCCAACCTCTGAGGCGATTCCCCGCAATACGTGAGAAAAAAGGAGGGAAAAAGACCGAACAAAATGAGTAGTAGGTTGATGATAAAACAAGCGTTGAGACACTGCAAATTCAAACTGAAATCGTGTGAAAACTTCAACCGATAAGATTTAGGTTTTGTTGTGAAATGGGTTCTGAATAACCTGAGACATATGGTTGTTAGGTTCACACTCGACAGTAAATGCATGGAGCCACAATCTGCCCGTTTGTTTCAATCTTTTTTCCTTCAGTGAACCACTTATCTTCTCTGTTGATTTTGGCTTTGCTTTGCTGTTTCACATATAAGGAAGGATAAAAGAGTTTATCAAGTGTTATCCAGACAAGAGCGATGTATGGTTGGTTACTTACAAGCAAATCAACTCTGCTGTTTAGTTATAGATTGCAGGTTGCAGGCCGTACGAAAGTGGTATCATAGCCACTGAATTTGCTGCTTGGAATTTCAGTTTCAGTCTCGGATCTATCTATGGCCATTGGCTCGTTGATGACCGGGGGATGGCTGGTCGAACGACTGCTTCTTAGGTCTCATGCAATCAGGTACCAATGTGAATCTACGAGGTGTTATTAAGTTTCAGCAGTTGCTGTCTTAGAGAGACACTCAGCAGGCAAACAATCCACGAATTTTCACCGGAATTGTCTTAAAACATCGGGTTTTGAATGATATTGGTTTTTATTTTGGATTTTTAACTTTAGTTTTTAGTTTTTAGTTTCTAGTTTTTGGTTTCTATCTACTGCCAATGCCAACCCCACATTCAACTCAAACCCTCCTGATGATTTGGAAGCTTCAACTTAAATCGAACCCAAATAATCGATAGAATGGTCTATTCTTGCTGCATCATCACGTCAACCAAAAATAAAAGGACTATGCAGAGCCTATTCGGATATATTCTGTATATCCATTGATCCATATTATTAGTATATTGTAATATTATTAGTATCCATTGATTCTAAAAAAACAAAAAAAAAATCATTTTTTAACAAAAAAAAATAATCCTAATAGAACAACCTGAGACGTATCCGACGTCTCCACCATTTTTTTCTCATGTTGGATCACTTCACACAGAATCCCATTTCTGTCGGTTAAGATCGGTTTATTTTGGTTTAGTTTTGTTTTGTTCCTAACGGATTTAGTGCATATTCATGAAACCGACGTCTTTAACCTCAAATAAAGTTCTAACATATGTGTTAATTCGACTTGACATCTCGAGATCCAAAATAATCTAAAAGGTAAATAGAAATAAATTAGAATGAAATTAAAATCGTTTGTGTTTAAAGAGAATTATCACATGTTTTTACCATTGCATCAGACATTTTTACTGTTATTATAATTTTATTAGCTTATTTGTCTCCATTTAAATTGCTTCATCATATTATCAAAATTATTTTTATGAATGGACAAAATTTGAATAAACAATTCTAATATTTTAAGGGACTTTGTTATTAAAATATATATATATATATATATATATATATATATATATATTGAAATAAAAAGATTACAAAGGACTAAAAAATTATTATATTTATTTAAAACTACAAAATAATTTTTAGTTTCTTATGAAAATTGGGTTCGGATAATTGTCCAAAACAATATAAAGGGATGATAGATAGGTGCTAACATTTATATGTTATATTAACTAAAAAAAGTGAAATTTTGTAACATCAAGGTGTTCATAGATATAAAAATAAAATCAAATATGTAAATATCTTATCTGGAAATTTTTTGAAGTATGACAAAAAAAAATATTTTGAGTTATGTGTTCCAAAAATAATGTAAATATTAGGGGTGGACGTTTCGGGAAACGGTTCGGGTTCGGGACGGAATAGATCGGTTCGGTTCTTTCGGTTTTACAAAAATATGTACCAATCGGGTTTTTTATTGTATTCGGTTCGGTTCGGTTTCGGTATCGGTTCGGTTTGGTTCCGGGTTTTATTAAAAAAAATGTTAGATTTCCTTTAAAAATATTCGGTTTTTCGGGATTTTTAAAGTTCGGTTCGGTTCGGTTCGGTTCCGGGAAAATTCGGTTCTCTAAAAATGGTACCGTTCGAAAAATAACAACGGTTTCGGATCGGGAAAAATACCGTTTTAACGGTTCGGTTTGGTCCGGTTCCGAAGAACCGAACCGAAATGCCCAGCCCTAGTAAATATGGAGCATGAAACGTTATAAGGAAAAAGTGATAGTTAGCATTTATGGGCAGACAAAGATACAGAAGATGACGCCATCATGTTCTATACATCCCACAAACTGTCACGTCTGTTTGCGTCATCTTTATGTCACATCTGAATTATTTTCTCAAAAGACTCATTGATATTTAATTTTTGGACCCTAATTTCAATTATTATTTAATTCACTAAAAAATAAATATAAACCAACGTAAAAAACATATAATTGTAACGCGTTCTACAGATGTCCAATATTCTCAGAAACGCGTGGGACCATAGAAATGAAATAGGAAAAAATCCGTTGGAAACATAACCATTTTTGGATTAGGATGGATATGTGTTGTACGAATTGTGTTACTCAATCAAATTAAACTAAATACTATGTAATTTTTTGTTTTACAAAAATTTGATTTAAAACTTAATTATATATAATTTTTTAAAAGAAATTTAAGATAATTTAAGTTAAATATAAAATAAATAATCAAAATAAAAAGTTGAAAATGGAACAAAGTAGAATCCAAAAAAAACTAGTTGAATAAAATATTATATAAAATAGAATAGATATATTTTTCAAAATAAAAAACTAAATTCAAAGATAATTGATTCAAAACATAACTAAAATGAGAAATCTTAATCCTTTATTTATATATTTGAAAATGTTTTATCCAAATAATTTTAAAAATAAATAGAAAAAATTTCTGGTATTAGGTTAACTATTGTGTCATTATCAAACTGATGGAAGAGAATAAACATGAATATTAGACATAAAATCTAATTCGTTAATCTTATTATTATCCCTTACAATATCAATTATTTCGTTTCTATTTTGTTCAAATTAATTTATTAGAATTTCAGATTGATTTATATACCCAAAATAAAGATCTACACGAGTTACCTAATTATCATGTATACTCTTAATCCGTATTTGTTGCGTGTTTATACATTTATTATCTTTATAAAACTAACATAACCTATAAACAAAAATAATCTAAATTTAAAAATCAATGAAGAACAATAATAAATACATGTTTATATCTATACACGTTATCGATATGCTTATTTCGGCGTGTAGTTATTTTTTAACCAAGATATGTAAATTACAAAACAAAATAAAGATACTGGATTTTTTAACGGTATGTCAAAATTGTTACGATTTAACAAAAAAATATGGTCAATTTATAAATTTGCTATTTCTATAATTTTTCCACCGTTTAGGATATCTGCTTAATTGTTTATTTTTAAAAACAAAGTTAAAAATAAAATTATTATTAAAATAATAAAAAGCATTGACCAGAGCATCTTCCACTACAATGACAATTCGAAAAGTAGAATATTAGAATCACATTTGGTTGGCTTATATTCTTTGGGAATATTCTCCATTCTCTTTTTACCAATAGCAATTTGCCATTCACATCAAAACCTGGTAAGTAGAAGCAATCATCACCTTTTTGTTTGACTTTTTTTTATTATGACAAAATATTTAACTGAAATGTTACAACTAATTATTAATTACACGTATCTTTTAATGAACACTCATAACATCAACCAATATTTCAAATATAAAACATACATTAATGTTATATAATAAAAAGTTCAGATTTTAAATTTTATGATGTAAAGACTTGTATATAATGAAGAATAATCATTATTTGTCCCTAGAATTTAAATCTTAATCTTAAACTTACATCTTAAAAATAAGTATTTTAAATAAAAATATTATTTTATTTTATTGTAATCGTAAATAGTAAATTTAGGACTAAGACGATGTTGATGTTGAGGTTGATGATGTAATAGTAAATAGTGAATGAAGCTGAAATATTTTAGTTACAAAAAGAAAAAGGAAAAATAAACTTTTTCTTACATCTTTGTAAACACTACAAAATTCCTTGACTAAAAGTAGCAGAAAATCTTATTTACTTTCCTGAAAAGAAGCTAAAAATCATACTTATATATACAGTTAGTACAAAAAAAAATATTCGGTATATAAAAAAGAATTCAAGTATTGTTTACCAAAAAATAAAAGAATTCAAGTATTGTACCGTATGCTTTGTTGGTTAATTTCGTCTTCAGATATTCAAATCAATTCAGTGATTGGATTCAAAGTATAATAAAAATGATTAATTATTTCACCAAAAAAAAATGATTAATTATGCAATGCGTAGGGATGGAAAACTACGGCCACCGCCGTACAATTATTAAATTGTTAATTTTCTGATTTTGTTTTTACGAGAATTTAGAAGATCCTTTTCCACGTCAGCGGGGACAAAGGTTTGGTATGGCTTACGTCAAGGAGTTCCAAAGTTATGGTGATTAAAAAGGTCAAGACGACGTCAGCAGCATTTACTCCTCGATAGACCCCATGTGACCACTTCCCACCAATTTATCAACTATCTCACGCGCTCTCCTTCTTCGTGTTCTACACGCTCCAGATACGGAGCACAATTACACTTGTATTTGCATTTCTTACTTTGTATCGAAAAAAAGGAAATGTTTAGTAGTTCGCTTTTTAAATTCGGGAAATTTTTTCAATTTTACATACTAATAGTTTTACAAAATAACTGTTTTAATACTAAAATTTTAATTTTTTTAATTAAATACTTATAATTTTGAAAATTATAAAAATAATGTACTCTTTTAAAAATTGGGTTACAAAATAGATATAAGTTTAGATATTAGAATTTAAGTAAATATAAAATTAAGTACTAAGTGTAAGGATTGAAAATTTATTAGCTGAATAATTTATTTATTAAAATTTCAAAGCTAACAACTGATATTAACTTACAAATCAACATTTACATGACATGTACATATAAGTTAGAAAGCCTAGGAGTAGTGTTCCTTTATATAATTTCACGTTATTTATACATACATGCTTAAATATTACGTAACAATTGACTAAAGTGCCTTAAATTTCACTATTCCAAAATGACTAATATATTTTTTGGGAAAATGGCATTTTCCTACACCAACTTTGCAAAATGTGACCTTTTCCTACACGAATTTTTAATTTGACAAAAAACTACACCAAATTATCAAATGTGCCAAATTGATACACGAACTACCCAATTTAACTGCAATTTCCTACACAATCCGAAAACGGTGTTAAGTGTCCGTTAACCGCTGACATGGCATGCCACGTGGCGGCTGACATGGCACGCCATATAGATTTTTTGCCACATCAGCATGCCACGTCATATTTTTTAAAAAATTCCGAAAAATAAGAAAAAAATCGATTTTTTTTTTAAATTTAAAATAAAATAAATAAATAGCAATATATATATATATATATATATTCATATATATTCATAATATATATCAAATAAAAATATACACATATATACATGCATTTATACAAATATATATGCATATACATACATACAAGTATATTTATATATACACACATACATATATATATAAATACATATACATGTATATGAATACATATTTATTATATATACACATATACACATACATATATATAAATATATACATACATACAAAATAAAAAAATATACAAGTATATATATATAGGAGTATATATGTTTATATTTGTATTTGTACATAGATATGAATACATATATATACATGTATATGTATTTATATATGTATGTGTATATATATATAAATATACTTGTATATATGTATATGCATATATATTTGTATAAATGCATGTATATATGTGTATATTTTTATTTGATATATATAGATATATATATACATAGAAGTATTTATGTTTATATTTGTATTTATATGTGGATATGAATATATATATATTTTTTTCATATTTTTTCGGAATTTTTTTTAAAAAATATGACGTGGCATGCTGATGTGGCAAAAAATCTATGTGGCGTGCCACGTCAGCCGCCACGTGGCGTGCCACGTCAGCGGTTAACGGACATTTAACACCGTTTTCGGATTGTGTAGAAAATTGCAGTTAAATTGGGTAGTTCGTGTATCAATTTGGCACATTTGATAATTTGGTGTAGTTTTTTGTCAAATTAAAAATTCGTGTAGGAAAAGGTCACATTTTGCAAAGTTGGTGTAGGAAAATGTCATTTTCCGTATATTTTTTAATGCAAGAAATAATTATTCCTCTTATTTTTTTAAAACCATAATAACAGTATAAATTAATTTCTTTGGAACAAATAGCATTAATTATAAAATATTTAAAATTTTTATAACAATGATAGTTTTAGAATTCATAATAATTTACCCATCGCCTAAAAAGAAAAGTTACGGTTACACTTAGTCACGATGCTGACGTCATGTGTTGATACGGTGTGTTATATGTATAATACTGAATTGTATCGAATATCTCGTACTTAACGTACGCCTGATCTCATGCAAACTCAAGACAAAACGTTCTATTCCTACTATATACAATAACAACTTGTAATACGTACATATGATTATATAATATAATGCATAAATATATAAATGTGTATGCAATATAACGTGGTTAGTGCAATTTATAATTATTTAAGAAAATGGTATATATCGTCAGTGGTTAATCAGTTTCCTAACCAATGGAATCATCTATTCCGAGATTCTTTTTTTTATTATTAAATAATGTGTAATCATATTCTTTATGAAACAAATGTGTAATCATAATTTTTTAAATTCCGAATTCCATCGCATAAATAATTATATAAAAAATAGCAATTGCTGACGTCATAATCCTCAACCCCACCTCTCCATTTATCCCCATCTCTCTCCCCCGCCGTCCTGCGTTGACATCAACTCTCCTCTCTCTCTCTCTCTCTCTCTCTGATATGAAGGCGATGCGAGGTGTACGGAACAGCCAAAACGACGCCGTGAGGCTCGACCTGACCATCGTCTCTCCACCGCATCCTTCGCCGGCGGCCAGCCTGTCGATCGATGCGGCGGGGGCCGCGGGGGGG